AGTCTGTAATTTTCTGCATAATTGTAGTGTCCTATCACTACGGTGTTCAGATTGGACTAAACACTGCTCACTGAGAGAGAAAATTACTGAATGAGAACCAGTCTACCACACTTAATTACTTATTTACAAGAGAACTTAGGTTTTGCTTATATAGCTTTATCTTTTACTCCCCAGCACAATTATACACTCTGAAAACAAATCCCCAAACCTCCTGGAATGTGGCCCTGTCTGGGATCACAGCTTTCCATGGAAGTTACAAGATAGAAAATAATTAAACCATTGAACAGCTGCTGTTACTATGGGGCAAAAGAATTTTTATAGGAACCAGACCTGAGCTCTACAATGTACTTATCGTCAGAATAACTGTCAGACGTAACTTACTCCACAACCAAATTCAGGCTTTTCTTTCAACATCATTCCACCTTCTCCCATAAACTGTACTTCCTCTGCAATCATACCTACAAATGAAAATGTTCACAGACTACCAGCAGTGTCTTCTATATGATGGGAATGAAGACAGACATGATTCCACTTTCTCCCCATTTACATTTTGGGGATGATCACATACTACAGATAGAGAGGCCATGTATACCCAAACACTTGATAAAAAAAAATTCTAGTCTATGGAAAAGTGGTCCAAGAAAGAGCATCCAAGGTATAAGATATTCTTTGAACTTCTACTTTAGTCTTTATAGGAAAGGTATGTCAGTAGCTGAAAGTTAATCAAGACAAATTTCAAGACAGACTTTCATATAACTTTATGTTTAAAACACATCAAAGGTTTTTTTCCCTAGTTGCATTGTATTTGTTGTTGTTTTTTAAAAGAAATTGTTTATTGAACCCTCCCATCTGTGACCTTTCTAAGCTTCTGCCCCGGCAGACGGCACAAGCCTTGTTTTCTGGAGGGCTTAGAGGGCCATTTCACAGTTTCTGAAGTAGCTGATATGCTTTATTGAATACAAGCCAAAATATGACTTGCACTCCTGCTTCATGGGTAAAAACGTCTCTATAGATATTACACAGTATTTAGTTAATCACCTACATGGATATAAATCTCCATGTGGACAAATGCATAAAGGTGAAGAAGGATATTGTTTTAAAAGCACAGTCCTGATATCCAGACAAAAGAATGACATTTAGTGACCAAGGTTATGCTCTCAGCATTGCTGTAGCATTAGGGATGCTGAGGGATCTTCAGAAATGAACTCTATGCAAGTGAACAGCTGAGTCATACTAAAACTATAATTAACAGGGATAGCTGTGTGATGACGACCACAGCCATAACTGGTTTTCTTAGCTGCTATTTAACACTCTTACTTCTCTGTGCCTTCTGTAACACTGTAATAACCAAACTTCACTTATAATTTCATTTGTCTGGAGATCTTGCAAGTAGTTTTGAGCAGAGACCTTCTGGGCTACTAAGGATTGTGGGGATAACAGCAGCAGCTCAAACGTTATAAAGTAACCAAAGTATTTATTGTGGTGTAACAAAAGGAAAAACATTTTTCAACAGTGCTCTTAGTCACAGCTAACTGTCCAACACATTTAACAGAAACAGGTATTATAAGGAATTATGGAGAAGTTAATAAGAAGTAAGTAACAAAGGTAATACAGGTATGGGTAGTCTAGGAGCAGGAAAGAGATCAAGTGCCTAAATCCACCTGTAGCTCTATCAAAATCATCTGAATTCAGTACATAAAATTTCAAAACAATCTTTGTAAACAGAAGGATGCAATCCACAAATTTTTCTTTTGAAGATGTGGGCCTGATTGTTTGGATTTTTTAAGATTTTCCTTGGAAATAAAAGGCAAAAGTTTTGTTACACTAGAGCTTTATATTTTATCACACTGTGCATCTGTGGAAACCAGATTCGCAGATTTGTGCTATAAAAACTCTATTACATCATTTTATGCCAACTATGTCAATTTCTTTGTTAGTAAACAAAGATTCAGGAATCAGACACAAGTATAATTACTCCATGTTTCATTTGGAAAGCCTGAGGTAAGAAAGAAAATGATCTAAATGTAAGATGTGAAATCTTACATCTGTTCTGAGCAAGCATTAAATCAAAGTAAGAACCAAGTGATTAAGCATCAGCTTCCAGAAACCCTTCAATAAAAAAGCTAGGAAAAACAGTTTCAGAAATAAATGAAAATAAGATGGAAAATCAAGCCACTATCACACAATGCACTGAGAAATACAGCATCATGAATAATCACAAGTAAAAGGTTCTGCTCTAAGATACAAAATAGAATTGTCCTAATTTAAGGAAGCAAATATCTGTTTATGACAAAATAATGAACTTTTTATGGGGTTTCTAATCAGCTTGTTTTCAGCCTATGCTAATAGTTAATTTCATGCCAGAGGGGCGCATTTGGCGAAAGCCTTATATTCTGGAGAGCAATAAAAGGACAAGTGCAAGTATGCTTAATTTTCATACAAACACATTCATGCTAAAGTCCCAAACCAGTCTTATAGCCATTAATTTCTTAACACCAAATTAAGGAACTCAGGCAGTAACAGCAGACTCAGTATAAATCTTTCCTGGAAAGTTATTTGCATAGATATGAATTTCCTTATGAAGTTTGCAAGAGAAAACTGTTCCTTAAACAATTAGTAGTGCTGGTTTTTTGTTCTATTGAGGAAGTAAAATTTCACTTTTCATGTGTTGTAAGGAAATAAAAGGCAAAAATTTTTACAGTTAAGCTTTAAATTCTATTGCCCCAGTAGCCAATGGAAATTAAATGTGGATTAAGATTTTAACTTATAAATGTACACTTTCATTAGGAATTTGTACCATTCAATTTTATAAATTATACAAAATCTTATTTCTATTATTTAAAAGGGATACAATGCATTCTTTTAAAATATTTCTTTTACACTTTTCTAGGAAACTTTTCATTCAGACACTTCCTTGACTATTTTTAGTCAACCCTTATAGTGTCACTCAATTTTCACTCCACTGCATTGTGTTCTGGTTTGTTTCTGAGGAAAAATTCTATACTTTTTTCATATAGGAAAAAATTATTACAAGTAGGCAGCCTTTTATATAACACAGAGTGTCACCAAATCAAGAAGTTTTGTGAAAGATCATTTCAAAATGCTGATGATTGAAAAGTTTGCCAACAGCAGCCTGAGTTAAGAGAGCATTAGATAATTTCTCTGCAAGACAGAACTGACTTTCATTGCTCATTCATATGAGAGGTCTTCTAGATGCCAGCTACAGAAACAACAGTCTTGCAACCCCGCTATTATTACAAGTGGTTGTCTCTCAAGCTGTGAACTTCAGATATAAGACAACTTATTCATTATTCAGGAAATCAAACAGGACTTACTTCTACAGCAATTCTAGCTAGCAACACTGCAGACATGGTACATCAGATAAATACTGGATTCCACTAGTATTTTTGCAGGAAGTTTCAACTGCGTGGAAGGCAAAAGTATCACTTCAAAATTATGGCATTTACTCAATGCTTTTTTCAAGTACATTGGTGACAAATGGCATCATATTTAAGGGGTACCAGGAAATACTGGGCTTAAAAGAAGACCAAACAAAAAGACCTACTTACTTACTATGATAAAATGACATCAATGTTTTGAATTCTACTAAGACCAAGTCAAGAGCAGGGGGAAATGCTGGCTGCTTAAACAAAACCCTGGAAGATAGGGATTCAGTTCCCAGCTGCACAGCTCACTTTCTGAGGGCTTCTGTGCCGATGCCTGTCCCGGGAACTATGACATTTCTCTCCTTGCTATAAACACTCACAGTAGCTCAGACCAAAAGCCTAATTCAGAACTCAACTTTTCAAAGGAAAAAGAACGGGTAGGAGTCATTTCATATAAGTCATCATATTTGAGACTTGTATCTTAATGTATTAAAATCCAAGGACAAATCTCACTTTTTAGGTTTGACATAAAAAGAAGGAAAACATGGACAATATGTAGAAACTGCCTAAAAATTTTGGGTTACAAACAAGCATCACTGATAATATTTTTAAAAAGTGGGAACTTTAGAAAGTAGTATTTGATCAATGTTTTTGTTTGGTTATTCTACTTTTTGTTTTGTTTTGCTTTGCTTTTTCTTTGGAAAAAATTGATTAATGTTAAATAGTCAGTCTAATAGTCCAGACTTCTTCTTTTACGGTCAAAGAAGAAACATGTTTTGCATTTGTCTAAAAAACTTTATTATGTCAGGTATAGTGCTTTTCTACACTTACTATCAACTTATCACAGTCCTTCAACCTTTTCCTCAGATATTTACAACATAAGACTAAATGAGCAAGACTGGCCAAGATAATGACAAAAACAGCACTTACAAAGAAAACTTCTGCATTATCCTATGGATCACAACCTAAAACGTGGTAGGCATTGGGAAAAGGGAGTATTTATAACATCAAATAATCACAGGTTTCCAGAACACATTCTGTTTTCAGATTTTAATTTCTGTATTTTCACAGGGAGATTGTTCTATAAGGGCACGTTTTATAGCAACAATCAATCCACCTCCACAAAAGTTATAGATCTATAAATCATTGATGGAAGGTGCTGAATACCTTAGTTCTATTCAACATGCAATAATAATATGCACAGGGCAAGCCTTCTCTTATAACTAGCTAACCAGAAACTGAATTTCAGTATCACGGCTTTGCATCCTCCTTGCTTTCCTCAATACACCTGCTGGACAGTACAGCACTTGGTACTGCATTACTGTGTCCCCATAAACAGCAAGACATTGTGCTGGAATCCACCACAGGGAAAGAAACCATTTACTATGGTTTAGATTTTTCCTTTCATTAAAACAGAGGACCTGCCGCAGAAGGAAGACATTGACAGAATTTAGCTATGATGCTGGTAAAACTCTCTTCCTCCCATTCCCGCCCCGGACCCCATTCTTTCAGCAGAAAGAATCCCCTTCTACTTCAATAGCCATATAATTTCCACTGTTAAAAATAGGTCAGGATTGCCACCATACAAAAGCATAAAAGAAACCAGGAACATACGATGGACATAGATATTGCTTCTTTTTCCCCTTTCCTTTCTTTGAAGACTTCTCTTTGGAATAGACTTCTTCAACCAATAAGGAGAATAAGATGAAAAATACAACCGCTAGTAAGAACTTCATCTTGAAGATTAAGCTTCAGAGAAACCTTCAGTCTGTGGCAAAAGAGAAGAAACAGGTTTATGTTAGTAGGGCTAGATATGGCAAAAGGGAACACATCTACAAAAACTAAACAAAAGTTTGGGAGGCTGTTTTGTTTTTGTTGTTGTTCTTAGTTGCCTTGGGAGAGAGAGTCTGTTGAGGTATATCTCTGACATGGAACTGACTCAGCCAATTTTCTGAGAGTCAAGTAGCTTCCCAAAGTTGAGACTGACAGTGAGGAATAGATTTAAATGCAAGTCTGCTCCAGAGTGTTAATGAAAAGAAACGTGATGCCCTTCAAAGGCTGCTTAACCCAAAATACTCAGAAACTTGGAAACAGGATTCCTCACCAGAAATGTCACATATCAACTGCAATAAATATAATCTCAACCAGTCATCTAGCACGGCAAAGAACTGCAAGCCCTCTATGACCTTGTACATCATTTCAATAAGGACAGCAATTGTTTCAATGCTAGTTATGAGAAAGGATTACAAATATAACTTTATGCACAGAATTTAAACACAACTATTTTCCATGAAGCATTCTTGCTGCAGAGCCAACACTGAAAGGGCCTTGCAAAGATGACTAAACACAACCCGCAATACTGTGCTTTATTGCACAGTGCTCAGTTTAATGTTTTAACTCCTCGGGGGCAAATGCATGTACCCCAAAGGCCAGGAGCTGAGTTCGTTTTGGCCAGAGACAACCCCGCCTGCCTCTGGTCACAGCACCGTGACACTTCAGACATTTTCCATTTGCTTCGCATCCCACAGATAATTTCCAGGCACTTCCTTGGGCCAACGTAAAACACTCATATGCCTCAGAACCTGCTGCATTTTCCACTTCTATTTACTTAGATTTTTTTTCCCCCCGTTGCGTTTAGGAGGCAGGACCTCTCCTTCTCCCTCGCACCACCTCGGGGAGGCACCGGGATACTTCAGCAACCCGTTCGCCGGGAGCCGCAGCACCCTCCCACCCTTTCGGCCCGGCCGGGAAGGTCGCGGAGCTGCCCCTGCCCCACCTGCCCGCCGCCCGCCTCTCCGCCTGCACGGCCCGGCCCGAGGCCTCCGCCCGGCCTCGGCACGGGGCAGGGATCCCGCTCCGCGCCGCCGAGCGCTGCCGCCGCCAGCACCGGGAGGGCAGCGGGACGAGGCGGCGAGCGGGGCTCCCCGCACGGCCCCGCCGCCGCGGCCCGGCCCCGCCGCCGCGGGCGCTGGCCGAGGTGCTGACGGAGGTGCCGCCAGACGGAACGGGGCTGCCGGGCCGGACCCTCGCTGCCCGCCCGCCCCGCCGGGGCCGCGGGCCCCGCCCGCACACGCGGCCCCACCGCCACCGCCACCGCCACGGCCGCGCCGCCCGCGCCCCGCGCTCACCGCCGGACGCCGCGATGTCCCTGCGCTCAGCGCCGGCGGCGGGCGGGCAGCGGGCGGCGGGCCATGCCGGGCCCGGCCGGGGCGACAGCGCGGCTGCTCCGGCGGCGGAGCGAGCCCCTACCTCCGGCGGTGCCTCCGCGCACAGTGAGCATGTGCGGCCGCGGCGCTCCCCAGTGAGCATGTCCCGGCCGCCCGCCCACACACGGGCACTGCGCGCCGCCAGCCGCGGCCAGCGCGGCCGGGCCGCCCGCACCTCACCGGCACCGCCGGCACCGGGCACGGGGCACCCGCGGGGCGGGGGGAAAGGAGGAACAGGTGGAGGGGAAGCGTCCTCCGGTCTCTGGCGGGAGGAGAATGCGCTCGATGGTGTGTCGTCGAGAGGTGCTGACAGTGTTCGCAGGAACAAGAGGACATTAGTGGAGAGGGGCTCAGTGGGATGACAGGAGGATGGAGTGCCGCCTTGCACGGATCAGTGGAATGGTGATTCAAAGGGCCGAGGCCAGCTGTACAAGGCTCAAGAAGGCCAAGTGCTGGGTCCTGCCCTTGGGTCACAACCACCCAATGCAGCACTACAGGTTGGGGGCAGAGTGACAGGAAAACTGCCTGATGGGCAGAGGACCTTGGGGTGCTGGTCGACAGCAGTGTACCCAGGTCGCCAAGAAGGCCAATGGCATCCTGGACTGTGTCAGGAATAGGGTGGCCAGCAGGACCAGGGAAGTGATTGTTCCCCTGTACTGGACCCTGGTGAGACTGCACCTCGAATCCTGTGTCCAGTTTTGGGCCCCTCACTACAAGAAGGACATTGAGGTGCTGGAGCATGTCCAGAGAAAGTCAGCAAAGCTGGTGAAGGGTCTGGAGCAGAAGTCTTATGAGGAATGGCTGAGGGAGCTGGGATTGTTTAGTCTGGAGAAAAGGAGGCTCAGGGGACACCTTATTGCTCTTTACAACTGCCTGAAGGGAGGTTGTAGCAAGATGAGGGTTGGTCTTTTCTTTCAGCACCCCCTCGCCAGGCCCAGGGAAGGGGCAGGAGGTGCTGACCAAGAATAGTTAACTCGGATACTTGTACACACACTTTGTGTGTGCAGCAGCACCTCTTCATCACTAAAGGCGTTTTACTATTAGAAGCTCGCCCTCCCTCCCCACTTGCCTTGGCTTCCTCAGACACTTCTTAGCCTGGAATGTTGTCATGGTGACTCGGGCCAGCCACGGACAGCTTTCAGGGAGGTGGGAGGAAAGGCCAGCAAGTGCATTCACCACAGAGGCAGATGAGGGGAGTACTGTCCTCTGCATCCCTGGGGAACCAGCCCTGGGGAACCACCCACCCTGATCTCACAGCCAGGGTTCCTGGGAAGGGGAGCAAAGGATGCTCCCAATGGCAGTACCTTCCTAATACCCTTGGAGAGGAAGAAAACCAAGCTGGCCCTGCTGAAGGGTTAACAGTGAGGCAGAAGCAAGTGATTGTCCCTCCCTTGCATGATGGGTCAACACCTCCTGTCCTCCTCTGTGGTGCTTCTGGCCCTGGGCATCTCTCACAGCTCTGTCTTGCCCCCAGCACCATGCTGGCCACCTCACAGCACCTTCGAGCTGAGGCTGGGTGCTTGCTGCCAACCATGCTTGCCCTGGTCTGGCAGCCTGTCCCGTGTCACTATCTTGGTGTACTTCTCCACTGCCGGCCCCTGCTTGTGGTTCCAAGATGACAATGAGCAGCACCTTGCCAAGCTGGGGAAAGCATTGTTTAACTGCCCATGCACCCCATGGCACACCTTCAACATCACCCTGTCCCCCTGCACCCACCCTGCCACAGGCTTGTCAAAACAGGTTTCCACAACTTTTTAAGAGCACAGACTACTCTCCACTGCCACTCTTTCATGTGGGCACAAACGACACTGCAAGCCAGAACCTGGGCATAACTGAGGAAGACTATTAAGCTCTGAGGGTGCAAGTGTAGAATATTGGTGTCCCAGTTATCTTCCATTTTGCCAGTTAGAGGAAAGGTGGCAGCCAGAAATAGATATATAATGGAAATCAACTTCTGGCTTCATGGCTTGTGCTGGTGTGACAGTGTTGGTTTTTACAACAGGACATTCTTTAATGATTACAGCCTGAGGAAGCACCCGTGGCTTCTTCTTTCCTTGGTCCCCTGTACTGCTATACAAGTGGATTTGACTCCTTGTCCATGCATTTGTTCTTTCTCCTCATGCTCCTGCACGACCTGGCCATGGGTCACATCAGCCCCAAATCCTGGAAGGGGCTTTTCTCACCACCTCATTCTTTCCCCCACATTCCCAAACTGTACCAGGAGGACCAGAACAGGCACTCCACCTAATTATTTTTGGTTGGTTGGTTTTTTGTTTGTGTTTTTGTTTGGGGTTTTGTTTGTTTGTTTGTTTGTGGGGTTTTGTTTTGTTTTTGTTTTGTATTGGCTGTGAGTATGGGAGAATTAGACTCTGTAGTGGACTCCTAAAAGGCTCCTGTAGCTGCTGCTCTATGACAGGGGGGCACTCACAGCCTGAAAAATCAATGTGTCCACAAGTGTGTCCAGAATTCCCAACATAGCTGAACTCATGGATGAGGTCTCCATTTTCTAGGTACAAACCCACCAAATAAAATAGTAGGAGCCTGAAAGTCTCAGCAAGTGCCACAGGTTAACTTTTCCTCTGGAAGTGGTTCCTCTCTGAAATAAAAATTTCCCCAAGGAACAGATAAGGCTTTATGCCACTCTTGCCAGTAACTTTCCCCCTCAACTTTGTTCAAAGATGGTTTCCTTTACCTGCAAAAGCATTTTTCTATTGCCAGCTTCTTTGAAGCAAGGCATGTCCTAACACCTGATGCTGGGGCAAGGCAGGGACCAACTGTGGGCAGCATTCCCCTGGATCCCAGCCAGCTTCCCAGCCTCTACCAGCCCACAGAACCCAGCGACTCGCACCTTCCCCTTCATCTCAGTTTTACTGTCCTGTCCCACTGTGCTGGGGCTGGGCACCACTTCTAGGTCATAATTTACCTGCAAGCTGGGGACTACCTGGAGGACAGGAGCAATTGCTTTGTCAGCTTCCCTGTGCCTGCCACAACACCAGGCACAGGAAGGAGAATGATAGCTCCTTCCTGGTTCCACTTTCAGCTGGGATGGCAGTTCCCAGTGTTTCACCCTTCACAGCCTCCATCTGCTCAGCTAGCCAGCCAGGCTGCAGGCCAGCTCTGGGGCAGAACCACACACACAGTACCGAGGCCCCACAGGCCCTCACACTGGCTCCCAGCTCCATGCCCATCCTTCACCCACATACCTGGAATCAGGATCAAGGCACCAGGAAACCAGGCAGCAGCAGAGACAGTTGAGGGTTAAATTCAGAAATGTTTTCTGTCAGGAAACATCAACTTGTTCCTCCAACTACGGCACGCCTGGCTGGGTCTTACCCCCATGCATTGGGACTTGCAGGAGAAGATGGCATGTCCCAAAAAGATGCAGAGCCCCAGCCATGCTGGCACGGAAGATCCCAGGAGCTGTTCTGTGGTGGTTAGTACCTCAAAGCTATAAAACCCCCTCCCAAGCTTAAGCAAAGGATTAACTCCTCCAACAGTGAACCACAGCACATACTGGGCTGCATGCTTGGTTGTTTTCTAATTCCAAGAAGCCACATTTAAGAAAAAACTATATATTGCAGCCCAAACCAGAATAGTTGCTATTTCAACCCAACCTGATCAAGTCCCATAGGCTGCTCATCCCGAGCTAGGCTGTCCCATGAAGAAGGCAGAATAAAGAGCAGGTCACAGCCAACCTCCCATAGGCATGTTTGCTGGCAGGTGAATGCATGGACAAAATAAAGAAGGAAAAGGAGCTAGGGTGGTTACTTTTCCATTCTCCTTAAGCTAAAGACTTTTATTCAAATGTTTTCCACTTTTGGTAAGAACCAAAGTTAGATATTTTGGCTGAAGACCCTGCACTTGCCTCCGCAGTGGCACCAGCTCCTTGTCCTGACTTGCTTTGAGCCTTATCTGCCTCTGCCAGCTGCCCTGTCCTGGCTGCCCCTGCCCTGCCATGGCCCCCATCCATTGCCAGACAGACATGATGGCCCCACAGAGCAGATCCTGGGGCCTCCACCCCATTGCTAAGAACAATGTCTTCCCCTTCCAGCCTGCAGGACGGCTTTCAGCAACTTGTAAAGCTTGACCCCTTGGCCACTCATCCCTCTGCCTTGCCCTGCCAGGTTTCCACTCCCCCTATGCAGGTGGGCTTTTTTTAATTGCTGCCTGCATTTCCGTATAATTCCTTTTGCTTCCTACAGTTCATTGCTGGGGACACAGAGCTGCTTCCATTTATCTCCACAAACATTTAATTTCACCTTTCACTTGCTTCCCCCCTGCCTTGCTGCTTCTACTCATTTGCCTTTTAAGCAGACCTCTACCCAAACCTACCCAACATCCCCCCTCATGACTCAGGTCTTTCACTATTATTTCAGTTCTTTTAAAGTTAATGTCCTCCCAACACTGTCATCTTAGAGCGCTTGCTACAGACTCAGGGGCTGAAACCAGGGCTGAAAACCGGGACTGAGGCAAATCCAAGCCAGAAGGATGAAGAATCTCTGTAGCGAGGGAAGGAGAAGGCTTGCTTTGGGCAGCAGGATCCATCTCGAGTCCAGGTGCAGGCATTGGCAAGTGCTTCCTGATGCAACTATGATAATAAACACATCAGGACAGGTAAATACTTGTGGTAATTCAACAGGACAATTTAGTGATGCATTTTCTATGGGAAAAGGCCTCTTTTTCCATCTCCTACCCTATAAAAGCTGTCCAAGGTCACAGAAAACTGCTTTTCAACCTGGCAACACCTTCTTGGCAGGCCAACAGGGACAAAATAATCACTTTACCCCCTCACTCCACACTTGCCAGAGGAAGCCAGAGCTGCCACGCATGCAGGAGTCTGGAGGGCAGCCCGCACACTATTCAGATGTCCTATTGCAACTGACCTGGCAATGCCAAAATGAGAAGGACCAGAATAAAAAGCCTCATACGAAAGTCTTATACCACCAAGCCAGTTGATTATGAATAATGGTCCAGCTTCTGCTGGTTGGTTTTGAGCATGGTTTGTATTTCAGAGATCCTATTGAAGAGAAGTAAATAAGATAGAAGTTTTACCAGTAAATG